AAAAAGACTCATACGAACCAATATTTAAATGGTGTATCCCACCCTCATTCTTCGCATTTAGCTACAGTGGGCAAATCTTTGTTACAGATAGCTCGAGGGATCTGTAACAGCAAACACCTGTTCGCCGAGCTTCAGCACGTCAAGTAATTTCTACAAGACAACAAGCTTCGAGTCCCGCGCCTACGTCACAGTGACCGAGTGCAACTGGCAACAGTCGCGCGTTTGCCTGCTATACACACATACTGCTGTACAAACATATATCAGAGGTGTCACAGTCAAGATTGGTTACATCTTGAAGCGAGCTTCTATTAGAACATTCTTCAAGCTGCTAAAGAAGATTAGTCAGTTCTTACCGTCCGTCAAGTGTAATATCCCTCTAAAAGATGCGGGAGTGTATAATATATATATATATAATAATATAAGCTTATAGCTTGATTGTGAATGTGGTCCCTCATATATAGGCCAAACAAATCGATTTATTAAGCCCGCGTATAAGAACACATAACTGACGTAAAACACCAACGAACTAACACCAAAACAAAACTACAGTTTGTGATCATATCCTTAACGGCCATCACATTAGATTTGATAGAACACAAATTCCCGCAAAAGAACATCGATTCCTACCCAGGAGAATACGTGAAACTATTGAAATTAAAAAAAAACGAGAAAAGAGGGACTAAAATCTGTTTGGGATCCTATATTTTCAACAGTGGTAGAGCCACGCGGCAGCTTTTGCTGTCGCACGGATGGGCCGGCTCGAACCGGGGTGGTACCACGACCTCACAGAAAACCAGCTTGAAGTAGAGGTTTACCTCTGCGTTTCGCTTGGTGAGTGCAGGTGGCCGGAGGCCCTTTTTACTGGAAATGAGGCATTCCATCTTAGTCCTCACGGGTGACAACGCATCTACATTTTGATTTGTAATAGAGGATAGATGTAGATGTCTATGGGCCGCAGCAACCACTTACCATCAGGTGGACTGTGTGCTACTTTGTCACCCTAATCATATAAAAAAAATAAATTAATACAATTAAAATAAGCCCAAGCATACCACTGCAAGACTTCAAGATACAGTAAGTTCGTTCTGCGTAGACCGGACCAAAACTCATAATTGAAAAAGCTAAAGGTACTCCGGGTTAACTCTAACATCGGGACGTCAGTTACCTCAGTCCCCCGTGACCATAGGTGCTGTAAAGCACCCGAAATGTCGGGACTTAAAAAAATAAGTTAATTAAACGCACTAAAATCCGTAAAAGTAGTTTTATTCAATGTATAAATGTATATATCATTAAAAAAACGATCCACTATTGAACATATCTTGGTTTTTCTCAAGTTAATAAAAATTGCAGCAATCTCACGCTTGGTTAGCGGATCATCGATTATTGAATTTTTATAGAAGTGGGGGCAAACAGGTATGCGGTTCACCTGATGCTTAGTATCGACCGTCGCCTATGAACAACTGCAGCACGAGGGGATTCAAAGGTGCGTTAAAACATGCTGACTTATAATAAACAAAAACTAATTTCTTAGTAAAAAATAAAAGAAAGATAGAAAGAAATACGTTTACTTGGCAAATATATTATAACAAAATAAATGTTTATATCATAAGGGTTACAGACGAGCACACAGTCCACCTGATGTTAAGTGGATGCTGCGGTCCATGGAACATCTACATCTATTCTTGATTAAGAATCAAAATTCAGAAGCGTTGCTACCTCTGAGGACTAAGAAGGAATGCCTCGTTTCCAGTAAAAAAGGTCTCCGGTTCTCTATACTCACCATACAAAACAGGAGCATTGAGCTGCTATTTTACGCTGGTATTCAGTGAAAGTGTGGTCCTTCTCCGGTCAAGCCAATATAATGTAGCTACAGCGTGGCTCTTACGCGTATAAATAAATCATTTTATACAGCAAAAATTATTTTCAATTTAAAAAAAATAACTTAATATGCACCGTGTCTGCTCAGCTTAAAGTTTTCATTTAATAATTAAAAATGAAAATAGTTACCGCCCGTTTATTCTTTCGACATTAACTTATTCACTGAACCGAAATATACAATAATTATAATTCTGCTGGCGTAGAATGCAAATTTCATGCTCACTGCTCAGATAAATTGCTCAATAGATTCATGCTAAAATAACATTTTGAAATTAAACCATTGTTTTTAATATAAAAGTTTTGACTTTGAACTTTTATTCGTGACTGACACCGGCTTCACCTGGGTTGAGTCTATTAATGTGGTGTGATTTAAGATAATCATCAAAGACCATTTATTTTACCAATTTTTGAATTACTCAATAAATATCTAAGTTTTTCGGATAAAATATTCTTGATCACTCATGACACTATTTTTATCTCGTCGTAAAGTTTCATCACAATCGCTTCAACCATTCCGAAGATTATCCCGGACAGACAGACTGACAGACAGATAGACAAACAGACAGACGGACATTTTTACAATGGTAAATGAAGTTACAGAGACAGTTATTTACGAGTAGATATTACAGACTATTATTCTCAGTGTAATGGAGGTATTATGTCCACTATACCAGTCCCGTTGGTATCGTAAGAGGTGAAAAAGACGTCTTTCCAATAACGATTAAAAAGTTCTAAAGTTTTCTAACCCGCCTGCCAAGCGTGGGAACTTTCGCAACTATCCCCTTGTGAGGCCTTCTAAAGAGAGAATTATGTTTAGCAGTGGACTTTGATAGGCTGTCATCTGTGAATTAATGAATTAATAATGTTCTCCTTGCCAATTCACTCTCCCTCGACAACTTCCAGATGTAGTATCCGTAGTGTAGAATGAAACTAGGTGACAGCTCTATGGCGCATTGGCTTAGCAATGAAATGCGGGCCGTGGGTTCGGTTCCCGCACGGAACAAGTCTTTGTAAGACCTACAAATAATTTTTCCGGGTCGTTCGTCCTTGTGAAATCCATGTACCTAAACTATTACCACGATTCAGGAGAAAACCCTAGTGCTGAAGTAAAAGTTACAAAAAAAGCTGTCAACTGCTTAGGAAATGCGATTGCCATACTGAAATGATCGGGAATAGAATATTTCGGATTGAGTTAAGATAAAACATTTTTTAGAATTTGAATACTGGCCTCTTAGCATCTTAATGATATTCAAACAATTAAAAAAAAGTTTAAAAATAAAAACGTAAAAAATGTTGGTTTAAAGTTGACACGTCGTTAACGGAAATGGAGCTCACGCGTGAACATTTCCGTGCCATAATTTATCACAATTTGTCCGAAGAGCAAAAGGCGGCTCGTATAGATTGGTGCCGGAATACTCTGCAACGCTTCAACGGAGGGAAGTCAAATGCCATTTATAATATCGTCTCAAGTGACGAATCATGGATTTATTCATAACAACCTGAAAGAAAACATCAGTCAGCAGTTTGGGTCTTCGAAGACGAGGTCAAACCAACGAAAGTGGTTCGCTCCCGCAGCGTGTCAAAGAAAATGGTCGCTACGTTAGCCTCGAAAAAGGGACATGTTGCTACAATTCCTCTACAATAACCCAGAACGGTTACCGCTGAGTGGTATATCACGGTTTGTTTGCCAGAAATGATAGTCGAACTCCGAAAAAATAACCCGAAACGTCACATCATCTTACATCACATTAATGCGAGCTCCCATACGGCTCGGAAAACAAATGATTTTTGAAGCAGGAAAACGTTGAGCTGATGAGCCATCCTCCGAACAGTCCTGACCTGAGCCCAAACGATTTCTTTACATTCCCTAGAATGAAAGATTTACTACGCGGTCAACAGTTTGAAGACCCCGAAGTAGCTGTGGAAGCGTACAAATCAGCAATTTTGTCAACATCAACTTCAGACTGAAATTACTGTTTTAATGATTGGTTTGCACGAATGAAAAAGTGCATTAAGTTAAACGGAGAATACTTCGAAAAACAATAAAACACAATTTAACTATACCGTGCATGTGATTTTTCTTATTCCCGATAATTTCAGTGTGCCCCTCGTACTGTAATTAAAAACGTTTAGTTTGCGCGTTTGTATCCAGATTACTTCAATATCTAAAAGCGTCATACATATATTATAACTGTTTCATGGCTGCTCCCATATTGTGAATATAATTTTATTTTATTTATTTATTTAGCGGGTGATTCTCATTTTATTGATTGCCGTGTAGCAGCGGCATAACAGAATCCATCACTCTATTAAGTCCCGTGAGTTTCGTAAGAGGCACCCATGGGAAATGCAATAAAAACTTATGGCTTTCGATAGATGGTTTTGTAACCATTGCCTTTACGTCAGATGTAAAATACACAGACTGGCGATAGACAGCAGCGTTCAGCGTCTGGTACAGCGATTGGCAATTCACAGTGATAGAGCCACGCGGCAGCTTTTGCTGTCGCACGGATGGGCCGGCTCGAACCGGGGTAGTACCACGACCTCACGAAAAACCAGCGTGAAGTAGAGGTTTACCTCTGCGTTTCGCTTGGTGAGTGCAGGTGGCCGGAGGCCTTTTTTACTGGAAATGAGGCATTCCATCTTAGTCCTCACGGGTGACAACGCATCTACATTTTGATTTGTAACAGAGGATAGATGTAGATGTCTATGGGCCGCAGCAAGCACTTACCATCAGGTGGACTGTATGCTCGTTTGTCACCCTTATCCTATAAAAAAAAATTCACCTGCTAAGCGTGATGATTAAGGAAAATGTCTTTAATTCAGAAGGCATTTTTTATGGAATAAGGACACATAGTCCACCTGATGGTAAATGGATGTCCATAGAAATTTACATCTACCCTCGATTAAGAATCATGATCCAGATACATCGCCACCTCTGAGGAGCAGCATCTTACTGATAACAACTCTAAATAATAGAAAAACTGCGGTTACCAATCTGTCTACTAAGCGTGGCAACTATAGGAAACATCCCTCTTATATATTATCAATCTAAGGAGAGGCCTATGTTCAACGGTGGACTTATGATAGACTGTTATGAAAAAATAACAAAAAATACTCACATGTTGAAACAATACGATTTACTGACCATCTAATTGCAGCATTCGTTCTGTTGTGTAAAGAGGCAAATAAGCATAAATATGAGTGGCCAATTGAACGATAGTGGGATAAACACAATAAAATTAGACTACAACTTCTCAACGTGACATAATTCAAAAGCTTTTGAAGAAAAAATATTTTGAAGGCGTGTTTATAAATAATCATTTAAAATTTAAAATTTTGTACGACCGACTTCAATATAAATTATTAAGAATAACACAAAAACTATTGGTTAAACCTGGATCAAATTTATATGGAACAATAGGAAAAAGCATCAGCTTTCAAATATAAAAAGAATTTAAAAGCTTTTAGAAAAATTTACTTCGCAAATATCCGCGTTATAAAATAAAATGATGTGTCTTACCTAGTATGAAGATATATAATGGATTTCCGCAAAGTACCGCCTAATTCTATTAATTATATAAAAATAATCATTGAAATCGGTTCACCCAGAAAAAAGTTATGACACAGTTATGACACATAAAAAACAACATACAGTCGAATTGAGTACCGTCTCCTTTTTTAAGTCGGTAGAAAAGGTGTTATGTTTAGAAGCGTTGTGATTTTAAGCAGTTATTTAAGATTAGCTAGGTGGTAGGCCTCCTTTTCTACGTAGAGGTTCTTCTGGTATTTACCACCCTATAACCTATTTCTGCTACAGTCCTTACAGATTATAACACATCTGTAGCCTCCATTGTTTGAAGTTGGCTGCAGGTGTCCATGGACTGCTGTAACCACTTACAATCAGTTGAACTATAAATTTGTTTGTCACTTCAGTTTTATGAAAGAAAAAAAAACAGAAGACACGGAGCAATCACACTTTAATACAAATAATACCGTCAGTAATTTGTTTTTGTCTCGAATATTTCGCGGACTCGAGTGCGCGAAGACTGAGAGCGCACTGATGACTTCTGCGCCTTGAGGTAAAACGCATAGCAATGAATACGCATAACAGTCATTGTTTATAAAGTTTACATTATTTTAGGTGATGTTATTATTATTATTAATAATAAAAGAAAAGTTAAACTAAGCATTAGCCTTTTTTAAATCTAATGTCGGCTCTATAAAAGTTCAAAGGAATACAACTTTATTTTTTAAATACGTATAACACACGCGGTAGCTCAGGGGATAAGTACTCCATCATCCTTTTTACAGCGCGACGGTGAAGGAAATTATTGTGAGGAAACCTGTATATCTGAGATATAAAACTTTTTATGTAGGCTCCATGGCGCAATTTAATTAGTAATAGTTCCAAGTGTGTGAATGTTCGTCTGTGTAAAATGAATGTATGTAAACTGCCCTCACGATGCAGGAGAAAATCCTAGTAGACAGATGAAGTTAACGAATGGAAAAAAGCCTTCGAAAATGAATTTTTAGCTCAAATTAAAAATGACATCTCTGAAATCAATGAGTCCGCGAACACGCACTCTAGTGCTACAATCACCAACTTAATCTGATCGTTTGTGATATTAGTCTTATGAAATTTACAAAATATAACAATCATTAAAAAAAAAGTGAAGGATATCGTAAGAACTTCTTAACAGTTCTTCTCTATTCATATGTACATTTTCGAACTGGTGGTTTATATTGAATGTAGACTTAATAAAAAATTAAACAAAACAGTTTAGGGTACAATATTTATAATATATTAAGCAAAGTAATACTGGTGTATTTCTCATGGTGAGTGAAGAGGGCTGGAGAGAAGCAATAAATAGCTACATTTTACTGAAAACGAAGCATTTCATATTTATTCTTAGGGGTGATAACGCATCTGCATTTTGATTCTTAATTGAGGGTAAACATCCATCCATTTAAAATTAGGTGGACTGTGTGCTCGTTTGTCACCCTTATTCTATTAAAAAAGCTGATGTTTCAACTCTGAAAGATGGACGACCACATTTGCGAGGATATATGGTATATTTAGCAAGACATTAGAAGAATAGGTTCCAAAAATAAGGAAGTTTAATTACGTTTCACAAATATATTATTCCTAAATATAGTACAATTTTACGCATTTCTCCATCACGCGTAAAGCACCCAATTTTCGTTTGATCCTCAATTTACACATAAATTGAGTTCTCTAGGCATAACGCCCGTAATATTCCATTCCGATGTAATACTGCAATAACTGGATTATGTTGTGAATCAGTTTCCGTGAAATAAATCAGTGAGGGAGCAGAATCAAGTCCTTAATTGGACATAATTTTCTTTTTAAATATCAATCAGTATCGAATAAAACTACTTTTACGGATTTTATCGCGTTTAATTAAGTAATTTTATATTCCCGACGTTTCGGTTGCTTTCCAGCAACCGTGGTCACGGGGGACTGAGGTGTTTAACGTCCTGCTGTCATAGTTAGCCCGGCTACCTTCAGTTTTTTAATATTAATTTTTGGTTCCTGGTAATCCGTAAAAGTAGTTTTATTCAATGTGTAGTGTTCGCGTAAATATAAGAAATCATTATATCAATCAGTATTTAAAGCTAATCAAAATCGTACCACAGCACTAGGTGGTTGGACTCCATTTCTTAGTTTTAATGAGGGTAATTGTTACCGCCATATTCAATTTATTCTCAAATTGAAATATTCTGGCATTTTTAAAGTCATCATTTTTCAAATTTTTCAAATCATATTGACTAATCGGATTTCCTCAAAACTCTTCATTCATTCCTTTCTCTATTGAGATGTCTATTGGTGGCAATAGCCTTTTACCATCAGGTGAACTGTAAGCTCGTTTGTCACTTTATAAGTGTAGCAATGAAATGTCGTTCTCTTAAAACAAGGAGCTTTGTGAATGGCGATAGACAGCAGCGTTCAGCGTCTGGTACAGCGATTGGCAATTCACAGTGATAGAGCCACGCGGCAGCTTTTGCTGTCGCACGGATGGGCCGGCTCGAACCGGGGTAGTACCACGACCTCACGAAAAACCAGCGTGAAGTAGAGGTTTACCTCTGCGTTTCGCTTGGTGAGTGCAGGTGGCCGGAGGCCTTTTTTACTGGAAATGAGGCATTCCATCTTAGTCCTCACGGGTGACAACGCATCTACATTTTGATTTGTAACAGAGGATAGATGTAGATGTCTATGGGCCGCAGCAAGCACTTACCATCAGGTGGACTGTGTGCTCGTTTGTCACCCTTATCCTATAAAAAAAAATTCACCTGCTAAGCGTGATGATTAAGGAAAATGTCTTTAATTCAGAAGGCATTTTTTATGGAATAAGGACACATAGTCCACCTGATGGTAAGTGGATGTCCATAGAAATTTACATCTACCCTCGATTAAGAATCATGATCCAGATACATCGCCACCTCTGAGGAGCAGCATCTTACTGATAACAACTCTAAATAATAGAAAAACTGCGGTTACCAATCTGTCTACTAAGCGTGGCAACTATAGGAAACATCCCTCTTATATATTATCAATCTAAGGAGAGGCCTATGTTCAACGGTGGACTTATGATAGACTGTTATGAAAAAATAACAAAAAATACTCACATGTTGAAACAATACGATTTACTGACCATCTAATTGCAGCATTCGTTCTGTTGTGTAAAGAGGCAAATAAGCATAAATATGAGTGGCCAATTGAACGATAGTGGGATAAACACAATAAAATTAGACTACAACTTCTCAACGTGACATAATTCAAAAGCTTTTGAAGAAAAAATATTTTGAAGGCGTGTTTATAAATAATCATTTAAAATTTAAAATTTTGTACGACCGACTTCAATATAAATTATTAAGAATAACACAAAAACTATTGGTTAAACCTGGATCAAATTTATATGGAACAATAGGAAAAAGCATCAGCTTTCAAATATAAAAAGAATTTAAAAGCTTTTAGAAAAATTTACTTCGCAAATATCCGCGTTATAAAATAAAATGATGTGTCTTACCTAGTATGAAGATATATAATGGATTTCCGCAAAGTACCGCCTAATTCTATTAATTATATAAAAATAATCATTGAAATCGGTTCACCCAGAAAAAAGTTATGACACAGTTATGACACATAAAAAACAACATACAGTCGAATTGAGTACCGTCTCCTTTTTTAAGTCGGTAGAAAAGGTGTTATGTTTAGAAGCGTTGTGATTTTAAGCAGTTATTTAAGATTAGCTAGGTGGTAGGCCTCCTTTTCTACGTAGAGGTTCTTCTGGTATTTACCACCCTATAACCTATTTCTGCTACAGTCCTTACAGATTATAACACATCTGTAGCCTCCATTGTTTGAAGTTGGCTGCAGGTGTCCATGGACTGCTGTAACCACTTACAATCAGTTGAACTATAAATTTGTTTGTCACTTCAGTTTTATGAAAGAAAAAAAAACAGAAGACACGGAGCAATCACACTTTAATACAAATAATACCGTCAGTAATTTGTTTTTGTCTCGAATATTTCGCGGACTCGAGTGCGCGAAGAGTGAGAGCGCACTGATGACTTCTGCGCCTTGAGGTAAAACGCATAGCAATGAATACGCATAACAGTCATTGTTTATAAAGTTTACATTATTTTAGGTGATGTTATTATTATTATTAATAATAAAAGAAAAGTTAAACTAAGCATTAGCCTTTTTTAAATCTAATGTCGGCTCTATAAAAGTTCAAAGGAATACAACTTTATTTTTTAAATACGTATAACACACGCGGTAGCTCAGGGGATAAGTACTCCATCATCCTTTTTACAGCGCGACGGTGAAGGAAATTATTGTGAGGAAACCTGTATATCTGAGATATAAAACTTTTTATGTAGGCTCCATGGCGCAATTTAATTAGTAATAGTTCCAAGTGTGTGAATGTTCGTCTGTGTAAAATGAATGTATGTAAACTGCTAAAAAAGTTTAGGGTACAATATTTATAATATATTAAGCAAAGTAATACTGGTGTATTTCTCATGGTGAGTGAAGAGGGCTGGAGAGAAGCAATAAATAGCTACATTTTACTGAAAACGAAGCATTTCATATTTATTCTTAGGGGTGATAACGCATCTGCATTTTGATTCTTAATTGAGGGTAAACATCCATCCATTTAAAATTAGGTGGACTGTGTGCTCGTTTGTCACCCTTATTCTATTAAAAAAGCTGATGTTTCAACTCTGAAAGATGGACGACCACATTTGCG